GGAGAGACGATCTGGGCGGGCTCCTCTTCCCTGCCCCCCTGATGCTGGCCGGGGGCTCCCCACACTACCAGCCCCGTCTGAGATCCATGGGGATGGTGGGATTGTAGGCCGGTCCACAGGCCCCGGGGTGCCCCGCATCGAGGTAAGCAAATGGCACGTCTCAGTTCGGAGCCGAGCCAACTGGAATGGCTGGCCTGCCCTCACTAAGCCATCTGTCTCCACCCCCACCTGAGAAAATGGAGGCAGCTCTTTTGTGGGAGCCTAGCCTGGTGTGGTAGGCAGGGGCCAGGCGGGCGGGGAGCAGCCGGGCTTTGCCCCGCAAGTGGGGCTGGGCTGGGTGTGACTCACAGAGCTCGCAGCATCTGGCTTGGGTGCTCTCAGGAGTCCTCCTCTGTGTCGGCCCCAAAACCTCGAACCTGCTGTTGCTTGTTTGTCGATGCAGGATCGTTGTTGAAAGAATTATTCGCCTTTTGTTGCTCTTGGAAATGCAATTAATACTCTGGTATCACAGCGCACAGCTCTCAGGATCGCGCTGTCTCCTGGCACGGCCGCTCCAGACCCGTCGCCATCTTGGAACTGGTTCACAATTCTGATGTCTGAGAAATTTCAGATCAAGGTACTGGCAGATTTGGTGTCTGCCATTTTCTTCTTCCAAGATTGTGCCTTGCATGCTGCATTTTCAGGAGAAGAGGAAGACTTGATTGTCACATGGCAGAAGTTGGAAGAGCTGAGAAAGAAAGGTCCCTCATGTAAGCCCTTTTATTAAGGCATCATGAAGGAGGAGCCCTCCTGGCTTAAATCACCTCTTAGAGGCCCCTCTTCCCAATACCATTACATTGGCAATTAAATTTCAACATGACTTTTGGAAGGGTGATATATTCAAGCTCTAGCATAGACCAAGCTCACTTTTTGGATGTGTGTTTTCTCAACTGATGAGTCCATCAAAATATTTTTTTAAAATTTTTGATATTGTTCTTTTTAATTTATAATTTTGTTTTTTAGATTTCCTACAGTTTCCATTTCTATGCTGATATCCCCATCTGCACATGCATGTCATCCATGTTTTCCATTACAGTGTGCTTACTTCACGGTCTTCCCTTCCTCCACTGTTCTATGACATTCTGTCTCTCCTTGGGATTTCAGGCCTACTTGCTGACCTGAAACTAGTTAAAAACACAAAAAAATGATAAATGTTTGAAGTGTTAGAAATGCTAATCACCCTAATTTGATTATTACACATAGTATACATGTATCAAAACAGCACATTGTATCCCAGAAATATGCACAATTATCATGTGTCAATTAAGATAATAGTAATAAATAGTTGTTCATTTTTTTTTTCTTTCTCATTGTTATAGTGGAGGCAGCCCTTTCCAGCTTTCAACATCCTAGTGGAAGTAGAACTCCAAGTGGCTCTTATAAATAGTAAATATTTTTGTGCCCTTAATAAATTATTTGTAATTATAATTATGGTACATATGCAATTTGACTTGGTTTTAGCATGTAACAAAATTTATCATAGTTATTTAACCAATTAAAAATCATGATTATTTATGGTTATGACATTCATGCAACCAGTCCTTACTTTACTTTTACACTGTCCTATAAATTCAATATATTTGAGAAAAGCTATAGTTTATTCTGGTTATTCTCCCCAACAGCATAGATATCCTTATACAAAGCCAAAAAAAAAAAAAAAAAAAGGCTAAAACTAGTTTATAGATAATCCTCTCCATCCTGAATTAACATGAGTTAACTGCACTGAGGGGATTTGGTAATTAAGATTGTTAAAAATCAGGGAAGTCAATAGCAATGTAAAATAAAGATTAAAGAGCAGGTTTTGGTGGTTTAAAATTATTTAGGACAGCATGATGACATGAAATCTAATCCACTTGCAGTAAAGAGATAGATACCGGAGCAATTAAAAATTAAACATGACTATATCAAAATTTAGCTTAGAAAAGATTACAATCCCAGCAAACAAGAAAAGTTAGAAATCCGAATGAACGAAACTAAATTTTCAAAATTTCCTCCTTTGCTCTTCCAGTGAATGGCCTAAGGTGATCTTTGAAAACAGTTCGCTATTCACTTGACCCAGAAAACCCCACAAAATCATGCAAATAAAGAGGTTCAAATCTTTATGTTCACTTTAAGAACACCCGTGAAACTGCTCAAGCCATCAAGGGTATGCATATCCATAAAGCCACCAAGTATCCGAAGGATGTCACTTTACAGAAACAATGTATTCCATTCAGACATTACAATGGTGGAGTTGATAGGTGTGCCCGCGCCAAACAGTGGGGTTGGACACAGGGTCGGTGGCCCAAACAGAGTGCTGAATTTTGTTGCACATGCTTAAAAAGGCACTGGGAGCGCAGCGACGCTTCCGCCGCAGGTTCGGATCCTATATAGGGATGACCGGTGAGCTCACTGGCTGAGCGCAGTGCAGACGACACAAAGCCAAGGGTTGCGATCCCCTTACCAGTCACGAAAAAGAAAAAAAAAAAAAAAGAAAGAAAATGCAAGAGTAATGCTGAACTTAAGGGTTTAGATGTAGATTCTCTGGTCATTGAGCATATCCAGGTAAACAAAGCACCCAAGATGCACCACCATACTTACAAAGATCATGGCCAGATTAACCCACACATTAGCTTCCCCTGCCACATCAAGATGATCCTTACTGAAAAGGAGCAAATTGTTTCCAAACTTCCCCTGCCACATCAAGATGATCCTTACTGAAAAGGAGCAAATTGTTTCCAAACCAGAAGAAGAGTTTGCACAGAAGAAAAAGATATCCCAGAAGAAACTGAAGAAACAAAAACTTATGGCTTGAGAATAAATTCAGCATAAAATAAATGCAAAGAAAAGTAAAAAAAACAGTTTCCTCCTTTACTAAGCAGATATTTTACTAAACTTGGATTTGATTAAATGAAAAACTGATAAACATAGTCTTGCTGGTGCTTTCATGGTGTCTGGAATATTTATGAATAAACACCAGGGAAACAAACAATTCAGAGTAAAATCAATGACTGTTATTTAATCAGTATTATAAGTTTTGCATAGTTGGCTAGGTCATTAAATCATCTTTTCACAATAAATTAATCTGATTAGATGTCCCTACATTATTCAAATAAATTACATAACTGTAAGATGAACAAATTTAATTTATCTGTGAACCTAGCTGAAATACTGAATCATGCCTCTTCCCTAATGTGAGTTACAGAAAGCATATTGATTGAGAAAGCACAAAACTTTTATGTCTTTTCCAAAAACTGTGAATAAAGAACTTTTTTTTCCCCAATGCAGAAGTAATGCCCCTAAGGATAAAAGTATTACCAATTTGCAAAACTGGATGGGAACTTTGTTCAGTTAAACTGAAAAACTCACACAGAAAATGATAGACAATGCTAACAGCAAGTTTGTTTCAAGTAATAATTTGTAAAAATTGTCTAGTATCACGTCATAGCATTTCAAATTTAAATGTCTTTCTCATTATAGGCTATTCTACTTCTGTGGCATGCAATTATATTTAAATATATATATTTTTTATTTTAAAAAAATGATGTCCATGTCTTAGGCTAGATGAAAACTTATTTTAAGAAAATAATTGAAAGTAATAAAGCAGTAACATAAAATCTTTAGTTATATATGTACCTGTGTGAAATATTTAGGTTACACCTAAATAAAGGTAGTTATACTTTTTTAAATAAAATAAATTAATTGGTTATTATTTAATATAAATTTTATATCAGTTTCAACAAAACATTTGAATATTTAATATTTTATAGAATATGTTTAACATTCTATAATTAGAATATGTTTAAATGAAGTAGGTTTTGTTGCTTGGAAACAAATATTAGAATATAGAACAAGCAAGTAAAATGCAAAACAAACAAAAATAACCTCACATATCTTCTCTTTTATTTTAGGAAATTAGAGCATATCCACAATTTTCTCATTTTTGTCTTCATTTTCACATTCTCTTATGAAACACCAAGAAAACCTTCAGTTTAGCTTTTGGTAAAAAAAAAATATGTCTAATTTATAAAAAGCAAATTTAAGAAAGAACTTTTTGTTCAATTACATTCAGATACTAAGCAGATGCTCAGAAAGTTGGGTTCAGGAAACATTCTCAAGGTTAACTAGCTAATTAGCAGACAGATCTAAAATTTTTATCTAGGGATAGTATGCTTCCCAGGATACTATTGGAGATGATATACAAAACCATTTATTTTATTTATTTATTTATTATTTTTTTGTTTTATATATATATGTGGGGTACATATGAAAATGTTGATTTTCAGTAACTGTGTACAATGTGTGGTGGTTAGATCAGTATAGCTAGCTTATTCATTAAAATATGCAATCATTCTTTGTGTATATTGACCAGTTCCTCATTAGACCCCCTCCTTCACTCCCTCCCCTCCCCTTTTCCACCTTTTATTTTCTAAAAGTTCAATATAATACTGTGATTGTTGTTTGTTTGTTTCTTTCTCTCTGTGTCTCTTTATTATTCATTTGTTTATTTATGAATTGAACTCCCAGTTATGAGTGAGAACATATGTTATTTCTCTTTCTGTACCTGGGTTGTTTCACTTAGGATAATTTTCTGCTGCAAATGGTAGAATTTCATTCTTTTTATGGCTGAGTAGTATTCCATTGCTTATATATACCACAATTTCCTTATCCAGCCATCCATGGATGGACATTTAGGTTGGTTCCATCACCTGACTATTGTAAATAGAGCTGCAATAAACATGGGAGTGCAGGTATCTCTTCGATCTGACGTTTTCCAATTCTCTGGATATATCCCCAGTTGTGAGATTGTTGGATCATATGGTAGTTCTATCTGTAGTTATTTAAGGAACCTCCATACTGTTCTCCATAATGGCTGTACTAAGTTACAGTACCACCAACAGCGCGGGAGAGTTCCTCTTTCTCCACATCCTCACCAGCATTTGTTTTTCTCTGTCTTTTATATAACAGCCAGTCTGATTAAAAAAAAAAAAAAACTATCTGCATAAGATAATCTTACATGTTCTATCTCCTGATAGACTGGATTATTTGTCCCAAGTCCTCACACTATCCTTGTAAGAATTATACCTCAACATACTTTGGTACTGAGAAT